TTAAATTAAAAAAATTAATTAAAATGTACGTATATGAAATCAAAATGTTACTTACCTTTACTATATTTTTCTTGTTTGTTTTAAGTATATTCACTTTATTATTTAAATGCTCATATTAAGACATTTGCATTAAATATTTATAGGAAATAGTTTTTTAATGCTATTTTTGAATTCATTCAAGTATTGATAATTTCTTAAATCAACTATTCAGTTTTATATATGCTATACAAAAATAATCCCAGATAACTTATGAAACACGACTATTTATTTAGTATAATAAAAAATTAAACTCTGACGCATACACCATTTTAAACTAGTCAAAAAATGGAAGGGTTTGTGAGTCTTGTCAAAATCCAGCATTTATACGCAATAAAAATCTCGGTTTTGCTATGGAGGCAACAGTTGGCTCCATAGTAGAGCCAACCTTCTATTTACGACAAATAAATCTCCCATATTTTTTGATTATTTAAATAACATTAATATAATTCTATTGATATGGTAGATTTATTTGTCGTATATAAAAGGTTGGTTTCACTATGGAGCGGTTTCACTATGGAGTCAACTGTTGGCTTCATAGCAAAACCGACAAAAATCCCCCGAGTTTCTGAGAAAGATCGTAAAGTTGCGCGTTGAAATCTGATGTTCCATTAGTTTTCATAAGTAAACATGATATATTTTATTAAATACAGCACAGTAGTAGTTAGGTATAGTCGGTATTCTGCTTGGTTTCTTTGTCTTGTTTTTCACTTCTTGGGCTTCACTTATTGGCCCATTTAGGAGAAGTGCAGCTCTGAAACATGACATAATATTACGGCGAATTTCACCTTTGCCACTAGTTTTGGAAATAATTAAATCATAATATTACAGTGAATTTCACTTGATTTGGAAATAATTATAATTGTACCATTGGACAAACCTTAGACTATGTTTGGTAACAAAATAAACTAACTTGTAATTTATTTGATTTGATTAGTTTATGAGTTTCTTGTATTCAAATAAGTTTCGTTTTATAGGACGAAATGCAGCTCTGAAATATATTATTACGGGCGAATTTTACCTTTGCCACTTGATTTGGAAATAATTAAAACATAATTTCACGGCGAACTTCACCTTTGCTACTTGATTTGGACATAATTATAATTGTACGATGGGACAACCTTAGATTGTGTTTGGTAACAAAATAAGCAAGCTTATAATTTATTTGATTTGATTAGCTTATGAGCTTTCTGTATTCAAATAAATTCCGTTTAATAGGACGAGCTCTTTTAAAAAGCTCAAACTTATCTTATAAAATTCTTTAGGTAGCTTTTAAAATAAGCCCGTTGAAATTTCTTTTACAACTAACTTATCAACTAATTTTACCAAATACTTTTATTATATAAGCTATACACTCGAAAATCACTTATAAGCTATAAGCTAGTTTATCAATTAATTTTACCAAACATAACATTTTTTTTTTATTTTTTTTTTGCGAAACAACACCCCAAAAGAGTAAGGAGTTAAGGCCGGACCCCCAACATGTATATAAAAACACCTTAACTGGGCTGGAACGTCACAAGACTACACAAACAAAATACAAAATCAATTAAATAAAAAATAAAAATTTCAATTATTTCTTCTAATAAAAAAATGCATTTGCGTCAGTAACAAAAATATCTATAAATATATTAAGATATAATATAATAAAAAATAAATAAAACAAAGTCTTAGTCAATCAACCTAATGCCCAAAAAATGTTGCACATCTTTTAATATAATATTCTTCGTTTCGCAAAATAAAAACGAGAATAAAAATCCAAAATTTATCAATCCGTAATTAATCAGTTTTACAGTGTTTTTCTAATATTTTTTAACATATATTCATATATTTATTATTATTCATATATATTTTCTAGTTAAGGAACTAAAATATGTAAATGAGCAATTGATAAACAATCTGATGCAGAAGAAATATAAGTATTATTATTATTATTATTATTATTTAATAATTAGTAGTAGCTTAGGAAATAAGCTGAGTTTAGGGTTACATGTTTATTTAAAGGGCAACTATGATTTGTTATTGGAGTTAAATTTGAGAATGAAAAATTGATCGTGTTCTTTCGGGAGAGTATCCCAAGTTCGAGAGAGTATCTCGTATTTTTCCCCTTTCGTTCACGCTTTTGCTACATCAGTTGGTATGCAGAGACCAGCGACGATCCACGATGCCGCCTAAGAGAGACAACATCGTCGACGTTTCCAACGTATGGAAGAGCGATTCCAAGGAGTGGACGACCGATTCACGGACCTCTCGTCGGGGATTGAGGAGATTCGCCTGGCCATGAACACCATGATGGAAGAGACTCCTGCGAGACGCGAAGGGGCTGACCGGGGCCATCGCGGAGGAATACGCGGAGGTCGTGGGGGTCGAGGTTACGGCGGGGCGCCCCGCCGACGATCACCACCACCACCGTTGACCGGTGATGTTTATGATGAAATATCGAGGATCCAAAATCGAGACCAGGACTTACGGTGGAGTGATGTTTTCGACAGACCTCCACGCAGGGCCGATGTGCGGCGAGTCAGCAGTAATGAGGTTGGGCATAGGGGTGCTCAATTTTTCAGTTTTCACAGAGG